ATACTACATAAAATTAATTTATTTTGAAAGTATTTTATGCATAGATAACATTTTTCCACATGCCGTAAATTTTTTTTGGTCCAAGGGTCTGTAGGAGGAAAAAAACTACAGAAAAATCCATGTAAAAAAATGTACTTTTGGGTGATATTTAGTAAGACATATTTTTGTACGGCACTTAGATAGCTTATTTTTATTTATAGCAATTTTCTATAAAAAATCAATTCCGTACAAATATAATAGTTCATATTCATAAAAAAGTAATAAAAATAATAAATATATATAATTTTCATTTTATGTTGTTTGCTTCGTAAAATAAACTCTCCTTAAAAATTCATATTAATCAAATAATAAATATTATTTATTAAATGAATGTTTTATTTATTAAAATACTTGTATATTTTTTAATTTACATTTTTAATACGTACATATAGTGTTCAGGAGGGTGGTACGAACGCGAAGTATACATACAATATAATATATACGCATATTGTATATGTATGTGTATGTGTATATTAGATAAACATATTACAAAAGCAAGCAATAAAAATTTTGTTGGTAGTGAAAGTGTATTAAATGCTGGACATGTGATTAAGTGTGGGCAAGTACCAAGTCGTGATTGTAATATTATAAGTATTTTAGCTTTTTGTTTACAAACTTCATATATTAAAGGAAATCCACATGAAATAACTGGTGGAATATTAAAAAATGGGCGAATAATTGGAATGAGTTGTTCATACAAGGCTGGTTTAAGTGGTATTTGTAAATATGTTGTTGCAGTATTGCAATATCATTAACTGTCACTAATTTAATTAATCCTCTACGTATTCTTTTTTTTCGAGAATCTATTTGATCTACAGGACAAGCACATTCTTTGGATGATCCTAAAGGAAGATTTTGACTAGGAATACTTGTATTTTTTAAATAAGTTCGAGGTGAATCAATAGCTATAACAATACACAAAAACAATATAGGCATGAGTAAATTTATTGATTTAACAATTTATAATAACCAGAAAAAATAATTGTTGAAAATACTTACGTGAAGGTAAAAAACCTAATTTTTTCATCACAACAAGCTATGTTTGTACAACCAAATACACAGCAATAGACTTTACTTTTATTTTTTCTTGCTGGGAATTCCGTAACAAAAAAAAATTCTTTATAACAACTTTTTAGTTTAACAATACTAGTTATTTTCAATTGTACTTTCAATATTAAATAAGCAAGTCATAAAATTAAAAATATATATATTTCCACATAAATATTGTGTAGTTTAAGTCAACTATCAGCAATTTTATTGTTTACTCATAAAACATATGT